AGAATTTACCCGTAGCAATGAATGATGCTGCAGTATGCTAATTTCAATCTAATAAAGTTATTTTGATAAAAACTCAAGATACTAGATGCACTAAAAATCGGCATTAATATTTGAAGGGTTACAGTTTGGAACAATCAGTAGGGGACTCTCAGAAATGGATGTATGGAATACATTACATTAGTCATGCCGGTGAATTTGAATTGAAAATGAATTGAAAACAATTTTCTAGTGATATAAATGGAAAACAACACCACAGAGTGTAAAAATGAATTCAGGCTACAAGCCTGTGTTTATAAAATCAATAACAAATATAACATGCAGAAGGAGGACAGGGTAGAAGTCATTTTTTTATATCATGAACAAATGAGACGTGAAAATAGTTCACTTGAATATAAAATTGAAAAATCAGGATAACATGATGAAGATAAAATGCTTTAAATTGTTTTAAAAACAGGCACATGAACATTCCCGATTTTCAAACTCTACAGTCAGGGGTGTGCGAAGTTAAGAAAAAAGTCTACAGCTAGCTTTACCACACTTAAATAAAAAATATTCTTAGGAATCTGGGAAACAATTCACAAATGGTTAACTGACACTAAAATATTCCATGAAAAACGAGGAAATTTGGAAGTACGGAGAGAAAACATATAGTTATCGGATGTTATAAGCCCATTTTATTTGTAACATATTGCTTCAAGTAGGGTATTACTGAAGTGAATCATTAGAGTCCACAACAAAATGAATTAATCGCACACCCCAATTCTACACTACAGCACTGAGAGCACTTAAAAAGGAAGACAAATAACAAAACAAGGTGCTATGCACCAATGCTTTTAGTCCGTGTCTTTAAAAAACTTGGCTTTAACTTTCAACAATAACGAGAGATAACAGAGCACTGTGTTTTGCCAAGCTTGGCAAAACCAGATGGTGCTGTTAACCTTATCACAAGTTCCTAGGAAGGAAACAGAACGACAAACAGTCTTGATGTGAAATGGTGGCACATTTAAGTCTTCACACTAAATATGAAAATTTACTGCTTGTACCACAGGCAGTTATTAACAGGCCTGAAAAAGACAAGAGAATGTAAACAATGTGGCTCTTCAACAACTGCAGGGTTTGTAGAAATAAAAGATGTTTAATTACTATTATTAATACCTAGGTTATTGTTGTTTCACCCAAGCAGTTGGAACCCACTGAGGCTCACGCTCCAGACTATTAATTTCTGAGAGAAGTTGACTGAAAGCACGCTCTGTATCACTGTTTATGATCACAAGATCAAGCATATGCCCATACTTTTCTTCCATTTCTCTTGCTTTTTCTATAGTTTCTTTCAGTTCCTCCTCCTGTAAAAGAATCATTGCAAAGTTAGAAGAATTATTAAATTCCCTTAAAAGTAGAAACTATTAATCAGAGACAGGGACTACAAAATATTTTTAGTACCTTAAAAGCTTCTCCATTTCTAAGTTTCTTTTGTCGTAATTTTTCCAGAGCAGGAGGAGCAACTAGAACTACATATGGCTTCAGGTCTGAATTTCTCAAAATTCTTAACGACTGAGGGTGCAAGTTTAACACACAAATCTTTCCGGCAGCGACAACAGAACGAATAGCATCAAGAGAGGTGCCATAATACGCCCTCTCGTACTCTCCATGTTCTACAAATTTACGAGCTAATATATCAGCTTCAAATTGCTGCCGGGATATAAAGTGATAGTCTTGACCATCAACTTCATTGTCTTTCCTTGCACGACTAGTATCTGTAATCAATGCAATGAAGAATCAACTTCAGTATTGAATATTACAAATGGTACCTAGAGTAGACATTAGATTGATCAAGTTATAGTTCTTACGTGGAATGGCTGCTGCGAATCTTTCTGAATCCTCCATTAGCCTCTGCCGCAGCTCATGTCGGCCAATGTTTGGAGGGCCTATCAAAACTACTGGACGCTTGTGATTATCTCGTGGATAGTAGAGCGCAACTTCTTCATATGTTAATATTTCTTCAGAATCATAATCTACAAATAAAAATGACATTGTTTAGTCTAAAATAACTACGCATCGTGTAAAAATGGGGCATTCAATTATTATTGGTATGCAGCTTATATTCTTTGTATTTACCATCTGGAGTACTTGTAGAATAGAGTGGATAGTTTCCATCAACATATGATGAACCGTAACCCTTCTTTTTCTTCTTTTTGGCGTTTTTCTTGGCACAGAGTAATGTGGAAGCCTTCTTAGTTTTCTCCTTTGGGTCAGTTGTAGCTATACTAGCTTGTTTATAAGCTTCTCGTCTGAAATATGACAGTTATTTTTATTACAGAAAATTTAAAGTAAAAAACAGATAGACACAGAGGTTTTTCTTCAAGGTTTACTTACTGGTGTTGAAATGATTTGCTAGGGATAAGACCAGCTAGCGTTTGGTCTTCTTCTCCTTCCCGGTAAGCTTGCCACCAATTTGGGTCCTCTTGACTTATGATATGCAAGACATCCCCTTTCTGGAAACTAACACCCAATTCTCGGCAAGGAATAAACAAATCATCCTCCGGATCATAGTCAAAATGAGCTCTGACATGCATCTGTAATCAAATGTCAGGGACACGTTTTTACACAAACTTAAAATTGCTTCACATACAGTTTTATCATACAAATTCCAACATATATAAATACAACGTACCAAATTTTCTCTGGGGAGTGGAGGAGGTAGAATGGTCTTTTGAGCAGGCACAACAAAGAATGTCAGAGTACCATTCATTGATCCCAAGATGTCACATACTTCATTCACAGATTTCCCTCTCATTGAAACTCCGTTCACTTCTAATACTTCGTCACCTTGGTGTAAGAGACCAGTCTTTTCAGCAGCACCACCCCTCACAACCCGGCCAATCATGACAGCGTCACCCTCATTGCGTACAGTAGCACCCTTTAGAATAAGATAAATTGTCAATACATATTATCTAGCAATTAGAGAATGAACAATAGAAGAAACAAGCAAGTACTTACCAGAGGTTCATGTGTTTTCTCAATTTTAATAATTTTGATATGCTCCTCACTAAAAGTATTTGGGATATGTGCAGGTATTGTATGCACTGGTGTGTGAGATGGTGTAATTACAGGTAAGTGAGGGGGTTCCTCTGGGATATTTCTTTCTACTTCACTTAAAGTTGGTGACACCACAGCAATATCATGTGATGCAAGAGTGTCATGAGCAAGAAGGAGGCCTTCAATATCATATCTTGTTAAAAGTTCAGCCAACTCGGTGGCTTCAGGGAGAGCACAGGGCTGTATCACATCCAAACACTGTAAAAGAAAAGGAAGACCAGTTAGACAACAATTTTTAAAGGCTGGAAAGGTATTTGTAAAGTAATTAGATTTTTGAAGTAATTTAATAGGATTTCTACTCACGTCTCTGAGAAGACCTTGCGCATGTGAGGACACAGGCTGCGAGTCTGGCTGCGTGTGCAGCTGGGAAGAGACTTCCTGCACCTTGTTATGAACAGCAAGTGCACGCCCAAATGCAGGACTCAACAGCAACGTCTGTACGGCTGCCACCTGCCCCTCCAGGGCAGAGTAACCACCACCGGATATGGTGCTATTGCCAGTCTTTTTGAGTTGGAGCTGAAGTCGCTGGATGGAGGCAACCAGTTCTCCATAGCCTGAAACGATATAACGACTCGTAAGTGATCACAGCACCCATTATATAAAGCGTCGGAGGATAGTACAAAACTTACTGATGACCCTGTGTACGACGGAGGTGGGATCATCCACGGGCAGCTCAGGCTCCAGGTCCGCGTCCTCGGCCGAGGAGTAGCCGTCGTTGACGACGCCCGCGCGCTTGTCCTGGGCCGCGGGCTGCGGCTGCGGCTCCTGCAGCGCCTGCAACTTGCGCGAGCCCCGGAGCGACCTGTTCAGGAACTCGGTCTGCGCCGCCTGCCGCTCCTCCTCCGCTCTCCGCTGGCGCATCTGCTCCTGCAACAGCGAGAAGAGAAGAGATATCAACCGAACCTGGCGATACCCCGGGCCCGGTCCGCGGAGCGGGGGGTATCGGCAAAGTGAGGCGCACCGCCTCGGTGCAGCACAGCAGTCACGCCCAAACGAGGCGCGAAAAATAACAGTGACCCAAACCCGAACATCGTGGTATTGTGGACGAAGGCCGCAAAAGCTGATGGGGCCCTTCTCGCCAATCCCCACTACCGCTGCGCCCCGCCGCGCCAGAGAAACACCGCTACACACATACCTCACCGCTAGTCGGTTCCGGCCCTTGGCACGCTATGCCACGCCACGACCCCGCGTGGGTGACGCTCCATGACGCGCGGGGCGGGGCGGG